TGGAAATGAAAAAAATCTTTCTAAAGCCTAGACCTAAGCATCTCACCAAAATGAGCCGCCTATTTTACTTGGCTAAAAAAATACTTTCTAGGTTGTGTTTTTAATTTTTTCTTTTTTTGTGATTGTTCATTAAAATGAAAAGAGTGTATATTTCAAATTTTGGATCAAACAAACGGTCATAAAATGGTTTTTTAAGGTTGTTGCATCATATTACTATACAATCGTTGCATGAAATCATTGCCCAATATATAATGGGCAAAGCTTTCTATACTTCCCCTACAACATAAAACTCACATACGTCCCCCTATCCAACCATCTATTCTGAATGGACAGCTAATGGACAGTTAAGATAGCCCTAATCACAATGTCACGTCTTTGCACTAGTTTAGTTTTAATGTTTTTCTAGAAAATATTTTTAAATCAAATTTTGGGTGTCTACTCCGGTTTTAAGCTCACACTTGCGAAAAATAGAAAAAAAATATTCCCAATATAATTAAATGATCAAAATACTCCTAAAAGTTTCAAAGGAATTTTTGTCATTGTATATTATCAAAAATATTTATTATTATTATTTTTAGGTGCACCCAATGAGATCATGACATATACGAAATTTCATATTTATGTAATTTATAGAAAAAAAGCTAAAAATAAAGTGCTCAGAGGCGCAAGATCTAGATCAAATAGTTAGTGGATCCACTTGATCTAAATTGGACGGCTGGATTGGGAGGATATATATATATATTCTTTTCAGTAGGGGATGTATATAAACCGTTCCCCTATATGATAATATATACATTCTATGTTGTAGGAGAAGTATAGAAACTTTTCCCACATATAATAATACATGACTTATATAAAATGTTATTTATATATTATATATTAACATATAAATATAATAATATATGATATATATTGTATTGTAAATAGTAAATAATAAATAGTAAATAGCGGAACCGTGTGTTAAAAAAAAAAAGCACACGGATGTTTCCGACCTCAAGAGGTGAGGTTTTGTTTTACCAAGAATTAGATCATTTCATGGTAAAATTTTACCATTGGATTTATTTGCATATTCATTACACATCAAACAAACTCATGAAACTGATAACCGGTAAGAATAATATTTAACATGAGAGATATATTAACAAAACTGATGACTGGTAAGAATAATATTTAACATGAGAGACGATTGGTGGGAAGCATTTGAGCTGCCCCAGACAGTACAAAGAAGAAGAGGAACCTTATGAACATTACATAAACATGGATTATTTGTAAATAATCCCTAAAGGTCTTTAAACGATCATCAAATTCCATGTCAATCATCATCAAAATACTTCGTCATGTCTTCCAGATTACCATGAGATACAAGTATCTTCCAAACTCCAAAGATTCATTTGTTGTTGTTTTTAACTTCCATTAAAAAATAAGGGAAGGTATTGTGTTTGGTTGCTTGACTGTATTTATTTTTGAGTAAATTACTTGTTGAATAAATTCAGTTGCCCGTTTCCCACTGCTCTCCATAGATTCAAGGTCCAGGGGCCTGTCCACCCTCTCCCACCGCTCTCCATGCAAATCTTCATCAAAACTTCAGGAGTTAGAAAGCTTAGATGGTTTTACATGGTATACTTAGACATTTGAGTGCCTGAATTTTGGACCTCCTTATGAGTCTGGACTTTGGGGCCCCTTAGGTCTGAAGTCTTGGGTGCTTCATACTTTTGGTCACCCTGCTATGATTTAGAAAATAGTTAATTTTTCCTCCATGAATGATGGGCCCTATGCAACCACTACTTTGTTGCTTCTACACTATTACAGGTGCGCCCTTTTTAGATGTGGAAGTCATGCCTATATGTTGAACTAGTCCTGCGAGATACCTACCTTGGCTCCCTTCTCAAATAAACCACAGGTGAGGATTATTGTTTATCGTATGTTTGCATACATTCTATGCATTATACCATCTTTTTTTTATTCTTGATTCCTTAAGTGAACCTCTACCTCATAAATGAACTATTACACTAGCAATTTGTAAGATCTGAAACAAGGATATCCTTTCTCCCCCCTTCTCATTTCCTCCCACTCTTCTGCTCGTAATTTCTCGATTTCCATATGCTATACCATGGCTGGCAGTGAACATGGACATAAATACGAGTATCATAGGCATGCCTGGTATGACTAGGTCTTCTGTGTTTATTTTGGGGGCAGAACTTTAGTTTTCCTTAAATACCAGGTCATATGAGTTGGCATTGAGCTAGTCAGCTAACTGTTAACATAGATAGTCTATGAACCACCACAAATGGTTGGACCGTTGGAGCCAACATGCTTAGATCCATGTTGGGTGCAGTGTTAAGTCACTTTTCTAGCACATGCCTTGGTTTGCTTTTATGTCTCATTACATGTTTTGAAGTTCATGGAGCATCCAGTATTAATGGGAATTGGCCTCTTGAAAGGACCCTTTCCTCTCCTTTAAGTGATGGGGTGATCACATAAAGGTAAACTTGCCTCAAGATGGAAACAACTAAACCTCAGAGCCCTTATTTGGACTTGAAGCAACTAAAAGAAAGCACAAGCAAATCTGGAGAAACAGATTAAAAAGTGAAAGGAAACTAATGACCCCTTATTTAGACTTGAAGCTAAAGAGAGCATTTTAGGAAGTGATATAGCCTTCATGATCTTGCAATGGTTACATGGGAAAACCAACTTTAGTCTCTAATAGTCACTTGAAGTCTCTCATTCCCTAGATATAATTCAATTAACTGTAAAGAGAAGTCGGTTGAAATCAATGAAGCAAATTCACTGTGGTAACGGCTCCTTATGAAACCACATAGGCTTCAATTGTCACAAAGCTCTCTCAAAATGATTCGGAAACTCCGTATCAAACCAAACACAACTGGTACTAACCCTTCTAATCTGCCTCTCAATCTAGCTAATCCCTACCTACATCTCATACCCAAAAGACCTGAAAGACTAAAAAAATTAGAATTTCCTATATGTCTAGTCAAATAGTGTTCGGCCAATGAATGCTCCCACTATCCACTTGATCTTGTGAGCATGGAAGCCGTAAACACTAGGGGTTTAGAAGACTCCTCTGATCTATGTGTGTTGAATCAAAAAGCAAATGTGAAATCACCATCAATAGTGTGTATTAAAACAAAAGTACAAGAAAATAAACACTGACAGCATAAGAAAGTAGCAATAGTAGATTCTCTACAACATCATGGGATGCAACTGGTCCACAAAAGCTCCTCATGGGTGGAAGCACTCAAAAGCCATCACCATCTTTTTCATCTCTAGGTTAAAATCCCATGCGAACCTACTCAGAAAATAAAAATAAAAAGCTTCCAACCTACACAAGAGTTACTTGGAACCACACTAATCTGATTTTCATACACATCAACCTTTGATATTGCCAGAAGCAGGGGCCTTTGCCAGCCTAGTGATTGTAGACTCCAAATCAGCCATAAGAAGTGCTGCCTCGATCCTCCCCATGACGCTTGTGTTGCGTGTCAGCACATCACGACACTTTGATATGTGGTGACAAATGGGAATGCTTTATAGCATTAAAAACAATATATATATATATATATATATATATATATATTTATTTATTTATTTATTTATTTATTTGCTGCAACAACCATGAAAACTTCTATGCATACCTCCAAAATTTTATGCATAACACTGTCAGCACCTTCACATACGCAACAAGAATATAAAATTGCTAAACCAAGAGTCTTAGCACATTTTGAATATTCAACAAACCGATCAATTTCAACAACTAATAGCTTTGGCAAGATGTTTGCCTTGTCAAAAAAAACAATTTAAGGACATTCATAAGGAGACTGAAATCTCTAGTAAATAGCATCAAACCAATGAAAAAAGATTTGTAAGAACTAGGCACTTAAACCAGTCAATATTTTTCTATCAGTGTTCATAACTGAACCCCTTGTGGCACTCAACTTGTTTAAAAACAACACTGAACCCTTAAGACTTAAGAAATTATTCTCAACTCCTGATCAGGTTTGAATAAATTTCCCTTAAAATATTCATGCTAAAATGTCACAGCTTTGAAGAAGTCTTGATGTTTCCAGTTTCCTACTACCATGATTAGGATATTTTGGTCGAAATAAACCTAAGGGGATTTGTTGAACAAAATATAATGGTAGGGTTTTATTCCATATTTTCAAAAGAAAGATCAGGATATTTTTAAACACAAAGTATAATTTGGGGGTAGCACAGAAGTTCCCCGTTAGCATATATTGGGATTAGATGGATTACAGAAAAATCATAAAACTTTCACAAGCATGATAATTGTCGCATATTGAAAGTGTTGAAGAATTTCTTTTAATTCCACACAGGCGAGGTTTCCACAAGAATTCAATAGAAAAGTGGTTCTTGTGTGGAATATAATCTAAGCATTTTATTCACTAACCAATTATAGAGTACAATTTAGAAAAATTCTAGCACTCAATGAAGACATCAGAGCCCAATTACAAGCTTTAAAACTTTGGCTATGACCTGAGAATGTTACTTAAAAATATGTATACCAATATATTAAATTACCATGACCATGAGAATGAAAAAAAGAGAGTGGGTACTAAATAGAAAGTATAAAAAGGAAAGTATGGTAGTTTGCATCAACAAATTCCAACTCAAGCGATTCTTCGAAAAAGACATTCATGTAAGTTGTTTATGCTGAAATAAATTTCTCATGAGATGATAATACTCATAGAGATAGGCCGTTAATTTGTAATGGAAACAGGTAAATACTGTAAAGTTCAAGACACTTACATCTTCACAAGAAACAAATAGATATTCCAATCTAATAAGTCCAATCTTATTAAGGCCCAAGCCTAAAAGTTTTAAACCAAATCAAATAATCAATGCCCATCAGAGTTGTAGTAAAAAAAAGAACACAAACAGATCTAGTCACTCAAGTAAATTTCAATCATCCTAGACTAATTCCCATCAATTTCTAAAGAACCTACAATTTTGTATATAGAATGAAGTTAAAGAAAGAAGAACGTCATATCAGAATGACACTTTCAAATGAATGAATTCTTCGAAATTACAAAGGTTTTCCGCCATTCAACTCTTGCAACAAGCTTCCCTTAGCAAGAAGTTACAAAATAAATTGAGACAACGGCCGTTAGTGAGTGTATTGCGCTCTTGAACATTAAGGAATGGCGGAAGAGAGTACGAGCTTAAAAGGAAAGGTGAAATATAAAGAAGCTGCAATCGGGTTGTTCAAACCTTTTGAGGAAAATGATAACTCTGAGAACCCCAAATGAAGGACAAAAATGGTTCCAGAAACCGCTAGTGCAAAACCAGAGCTTGATTGAAGGAGAGGGAAGAAGCAAACTAGAAATTACAACCCTAATTTTGAAACCCTAGAACTGATAAAAGCGACATTTGCCTTCTACCTGTTCTGGGATTTGTCCATGGAACCAACACTCTGAGATTTATCGATGGTATGTGCAGCTTCTTCAGCTTCAGCAAGCTTTCTAAGCCTCTCTTGCAAAACCCTAACCCTAGCCTCTGTTCTCCTGAGCTTTGTCCATCTGTAAGTTAGGTACACGCCCAATCCTCCGTAGACGACAATATATGAAGCCCACAAATAAGGATACGTCTCTGCGTGTTCTCTGATCTTCTTGTACCGCTCTTCCACACTGCTTCTTAGGTTAAACTCTGCAACTTCTGACGCTCTTTGCCCTTTATTTTCATCACCCGACATTTGTTTCTCCCTCTGCCGAATTAAGAAACAAACACTGTCTCTCTCTCTCTCTAGATTGAGTTTTTCTCCCTGCGGTAATAAGAAACTCTCTCTCTCTCTCAATTATGGACAGTGCTGCGCGAGCTTGTAATGTCGAGAGTTTAGGGCAAGAAGGCGGGACGTTTGAAAGGGCAAAAATAGTTTCCTGGGTCGGGGGACGCAACTCTACATTAGCGCCCCCTGGATCATCAAACGTCCATATTAAAGACGGATGTAAACGAGTGGGGGTACAACCAAAATTTAGAATCTACGGTGTAAAAAATATAAATTTTTTTTTTATTTTTTTATAAGGTTGACATTCTAAAATTCATAACCCGGAAACCCAAGTCCTAAGTGATTTATTTATTTATTTTCGTTTTTTTAAACCTAACTCAGATTTCATCCAGTAAAACAAAAGTAAGAAATTTTGATCTCTCAATATCTCTCGTAATTCAAATATCCACGATTTAAGTTGATGCCTTTTCATTGATTTCTTTTTGAAGATTTCATTTCAATTGGGCATTTGTCGTTGGGATCCATTATCAATCTCGTATACCTGGTGGGTCTGAGATGCATTTCCTCTAGCTCCCACAAATGACATGACATTTATATAGAATGGATCAGAAGGATCAGCTGTCTTCAAATTTAGATTCATTTTTTGTCTTATGACTTGGCTGAAATTTACATTCATCTCAAAAAATTCTCGATTTTGGGGGAAGGCTCATATGCCAAACGTCCCACAGGAGTTTATTTACTGTCCATTTATTCTCTCTGGTAAAACCCCATGTAGAATTAATTGAAGGAACCCAAATTTTGGTGATGTATCTTTTAAATCCCCAATTACACCCTCTATGCACTTTAAAAATAATAATAATCAAGATTGAATATTGACCCTCCAATTTTTAAAGGATGAGTTTTAAGTGTTTGAAAACTCAAAAGTTCAATTTTTATTTTTATTTTTATTTTGAGAATGATCCAGTGATTCTTAGGTGGTCCTTAAAATTTTAGATTGAAAAAATTCCTCCCTGCTTACCAAGGGAGTAGATGTACACTACGCTCCCTCAGAAACATAATATATTCATATAATAAACGAGTGAGCAAGATTACCATGATATTGTCCAAGTTAAAATGCCCAAATATTTTATAACATTTTGAAAATACCCATGCTTTTGCTCATGTTCATCAAATGTATCCCACCTTTTCTTTTGTTATGATCATATTCAAGGTATGTCTCGTAATCCTTAATTTTAGATTTATGAGCTAGAAATTTCAATTATTTGTTGCATTTTTTCGTTTGTAAAAAAGAAGTGGAGGGGATTGGATTTAGAAAATTTTAAATTATCAAGAAAATGAGAACTTGCAGCTTCCAACCCCTAGAAGCATTCACTTCTCTTTCATTAGGAAGCTTATCTTCACCGATATTTTTTATTCTCGTCTCTCTCACTCTAACATCTTTCTCTTTCCAACCATGCCCTTTCTCTATTTAAATATGTTTTAGTCTGTTCCCTCACTCTAACATCTTTCTCTCTCTAACCATGCTATTTCTCTATTTATATCCCCTCTCTTAATTCTTTCATCTTTTTATATCATTAAATTGTTTTCTCTTTAATTTATGTCAGAACCACACTCCCACTATGCATCTTCGCCCACCCAATTTGACATATAATGGTCAAGATTAATTGTGACCACCTTGTAGAAAAGGTAAGTGGTTTCATTGTATATGTTTCCTATTTTTACATCAGAATTGTATCAAAAGCTCAATTAAAGTTTCAAAATACATACCCTCATTTTTCATGATTTCCTTACCATATGTAAGTGGCGAATTACTCATCATCATCGTCATCATAACATTTTTGCAATTAATTTGGGTCGACTACACGAATCCTCATCCATTATTCTACTCTATTTAAGGATATACCCTCAGTGAGGCCTTAAGTCCTCATATCTTTTTAGACAACTTCCAACCACATCCTTTTGAGCCTACCTCTTGCCCTTTTCAATCCTTTCACTTGGACTAACTTGCATCTCTTAACAAGTGTTATACCAGGAAGAGACAAATTACTAATTAGATTAATGCACTAAATTAAGACGGTTCTTCATCACCTTACCTTATGGAACAAAGCAACGATGCATTACTCAAATTATTGCTCTTTTAAATCTAAAAACACAAGTCTTCCTGGATTAGACAACATCTCACGATAGTTAAATTATATTAAGCCATCAAAAGTAATTCCAAAGCAAATCTCAATATTTGCAATAGTAAGCAAATTACAATGCTATACTTTCGATATTTAGTGGTTTGTATAAGGCAAAGGCCCTAACAATAACTTGGAATTTCAAGCCACCACAAAGATTTCCAATATTAACTGTTCATTTGGATTCTGGAGAGCTGTGAATAAGCCAATTTTAACCGTTCGTTTCAGGCTAACCTACAATGCCGTTTTACGACAAATTTGCTATGGAATATATCCAAAATGTGGGCACAATCTCAACATATAATTGAGCATTAAACCAAATACAATAGCTCATGCTTCAACTATGCAAAAAAATACCACTCATCTATTAATTAAAAGCACAATTGACGATTACATGCGTAATTACAATGACAACAATTTGATATGAGAGGAGCTCTTTTATAGAAGCTAATACGGAAGGCCTTCAATTTGATTTGCAACTACGCAAAGTAACATCGCTTACATTTATTTATCAAACACTTTTTGAGTGCCAATTGGTGGGAGGTACAAACTAAGGGGATGAACCCTTTCAAAACAATATTCTCAACTATCAATACTACTATCAAGTGATGAGTAAGCTTACATGCAAATCTAGCATCATGATTCATTATACAAGACACTGTGATATCTATAAATATCGTATGCATACTGCACATCCATATGAGATCAGTAAAAATCATCCCAAAAATAACTCAAATAAGAATTAAAACTTCATTTAACCAGCTGAAATACTTCTCTATGAGTTTCAAATCAATTAGCGAAGGCTCAAATCGTAGATATATGCACTCTGAAAATTCGGGCACATGCTTATGCATATATACGGCTCAAATCGTGTCGGAGGGTCTCATAGTATCATTACTCATACGGCAATATCTCGAATATTTTGGTGCATAATTCTTCAAATTTTGCATCACTTCTTATGCAAGATCAGAAACTCAAGATATCATGTTGTAATACGGTTAAACTTTGATGATCAGGAATGATATGCATGACGCATAGAGAACGTGAAAACTCAGCAGCATATAGATGACGATCCTATGCAACTAAATGATCAAATCAGCTCCCATACAAGATCAAAATAATCCAGAGTCATTCATCACACGAGTCAATTACGCAATTTGATCGAGAAATGGAGGTCTACTCAATCAACTATGTTGTTCATCTTGCGGTTACAAAAAACAACACAAACTCGTGGTTCACAAATTTCTCAATGAAATTTTGAGAAATTTCTCTCTCACTATCTCAAACTATTATCCATCACTTTTGGATGAAAATATGAACAAATATAAGTTTACGAGTATGCGTCACTTTTGGCAACAAGCTATTGTGTAGGGACTTGCGATAAGTTGCCATTTTGTGTACGCACCGTCCCTTTGCAGATCCGATGAGCAACCACTGGTGTCTATGTTCGAAGCAGTCGTTTAAAAAACAGATCAGTGCCCCGGATCGGACACACCAAAAATCCATCCAAATCGGTGAATCAACGTTTCGGATCGGGAATCGGTCGAATCGATCAAATTCGGCCTTAAAAAAAAATCAAAAAAATTCCTAAAACTATTTGAAAAAACAGGTTGGGGCCTGTCTTCCCCACTCAATTACCCCAAAAAAAAAAACACAAAAAACTACTAATAGTCAAGCGAGTCATCAAGCAATTAAAAAAAGAGAGAGCAAATCTGGAGAACATGAAAAAGAAATAAGACCCCCTAATTAGACTTGAACCTAAAGAGAGCATTTAACAAATTGATCCAACCTCCATGACCTTCTTGCAATGGTTACACAGGCAATCCACCTTTAGCTTCTAATAATCACACAAAATCTCTCATTCCCTACATAATTCAATTAAAAGAAAAGAAAACTCGAAATTAAGGAAGCGAATCTCAGTCCAACAATGGCTTTTGAAGCCACATCAAATCTCACACATTATTTCTCTCAAGATAATACTAAAACTCCTATATTACAGTACACAACAAACACTAACTCTCCTATCCTGCCTATTGACTGACACTAGCTAATCCCCATCCTCCATCTGATACCCAAAGATCTAAAAGAATTAACAATAAGTCAGAATGCCCAAGCTAATTCAATGGGTGGAGGTCCAACAAAACCTTAGCCAAATTAACCAAATTAAAGAAAAAGAATGGCATTGTAAAGGAAATGCAAGATAAATACTCGAGACCTATTTGACATTTACTGTGGCGTACGAAGACATATATACAACAGCAGTATAGATTTATAGGACATGGGGTCTCAAATTTCCACCAAATCATCCAAAATATATATACTAAATATAATACAAAACCAGACATATAACATCCAAAATATACATATTCACTTTATACCATCCAAAATATAAACATTAAATTACATGAATATTTATCGCCACACACCAGTAGATAAACATACAAGACTCTCAAGCAGTTGCTGCAGCTCCAAGGCCATCGAAAGCTGGTGTTTATCATTCTGATCCACAATCTAAGCTGGTTTCTATCACTTTGATCCACAACCTTAGGACTATAATAGCTCCAAAAGAACATGATTAATTATGACAATTAATATGCAATAATAGGAGGAGCAGTACAAGACATGAAACAACTCAAATGTAGTCAGCAAATAAAATTATATTGCCAAGAAAAATAAACAAAAAGAAAACAAGCTATTGGGGCACGCCCTAAAGCCCATCTTTCTTGACAGAATAACAAAAGAAATAGTGATAGAACTAATGTACGTTTCGTAGAGAGGGGAACAAGAATGACATTGGTTTTTGGGTAAATTAAAACTTAAAAAGAAAAGGAAAATTAATTTTGGGTTTTGAGTAAATCATTAAAAAAAAGGAAAAATATCATTTCAGAGCTCAAAACCCCTTACAAAATCACCAAGGGGGTCAAAAGATCCCAATTAACATTAGAGGGTTACTTTTTCAAATTGTCATTTCACTCAAATACCTCATTAAAAAATGCCTAAATTACCGTTGAGAATTTTGAGCAAGCAGGGGCATTTCGTAATTTGACCCACACTAAACAACCAGGGATACTCCCCTCATTTGGTTGGGGCTTCTTAGATAGGTCAAATTATTGAAGCCCCTGTTTGTTAGGGTTTCCCAACCCATATACAGGCATTTTTATGATTTTTTAAGGAGGTATCTGGGTGAAATGAAAATTTAAAAGTAAACTCTCTAATGTTAATCGGGACGCTTTGACCTCCTTAATGATTTTATAGGAGGTTTTGACCAGCCATAAATAATATTTTTCCTAAACAAAAAGGTTCTGGATAACCAAATCGCCAATTATGACACCAAACCCAATGCCTCATATTCCTCGTTTTGGTATCAAAATGGAATATGCAGTTATCCAGGTTTTGACTTGACCACCAAAAAAGCTTCCAAAACTCTTCTCCAATTCCAGTGACAAAAAAGATGACAGAAGAAGAAAGCTTACCACAAATATATGACAAAAGTTTTCCACAGTTACTCAGCGCCCAAAACAGGCTTTCTTGTAGAGTGAAGGATACCTCCAGGGTGTAAAGGCATCTCGATGGCAGAGATTCTGCAAAAAGAAATCCAAACTTCCCAGTGTGAACTTTATCTTTTCCATATTAAATAAGCCATGATAAATTTGCCATATAATCTACACATGAAATGGTATTATTTTGGTGCCATATCAGCTTCATCGAACAATTGAAGCCAGTTTGTCTCTCTTTTTCTCCATAATAACTGGAAAAATGTGGGAAGCTGAAAACCCTTTGCAGTGGATATAGCAGGAAAAGTATAAAAACCAGAGAGAGAGAGAGAGAGAGAGAGAGGAGGGGAGGGGGGGAGGGGGGTAGGAAGGGAGGGAGGA